TGGGACAAAAAACATCCCTGATGAGAGAAAGGGGCTCTACAGTACTGACAATTACAATTTTAACAAGTATGTGGTCACTCTTGAGTATTGTGTTGTATTAGTGTTCGACCTCCCACGTTCAGTCTCTCAGTCATTTTCATTGTCCTTGAGTCTATCACCAACGACAACAAGCGCTTGAAAAGGTTCCATTGAAAAAGTGCTTTCTTGAATATTGTGGACTGCAATTAAATTAGTCATGTGCAAAATGTTCACCAAAATTCAATAACACCTACCACTATACCAATGTCATGGTGTCTGTGCGATGACAATACAACTTACCTCATCACTTCCCTGAGTAGATGCGCTTTCTCCATCCTGCACTCTGCAGTTTCTCCGTCCCAGACTCTGATGCCCGATGCCAACCAGTGCGTCATACTTTAATCTGTTTTGACATGGTTTTAAATTTCATTCTTTCAGTTTATATTAATAACAAAAAAGACATACCTTGCAGCAACTAATCAAGGTATCTGCCATGTTAAATAACATTACAGTCCAGTCTTTAATTCTCACCTGTACCGCCTCTTCTCCCTGCTTGGCTTGGGCTGTCTCTGCATCACCTTCATTTTGCTACCGTACCTGTATTAACCACAGGTGAGTATCAATATCATATCATGCTCTGTGGGCAACAACTCACAAAACAAACACGTAAAGTCACAAATCTAAGGTTAGACCCATTGGATCTAGATGCTGTATAAATGTGGATGATGTGGCTCAGCTCCACCAGGATGGGATCAGGGCATATTTGATGATCTGATAAATCTATCCAATCCATTGTTTCCTGCAGTATATTAACTGTCCAAAATGTCCCACTGTGCTCTACTACAACAAAAGAAACACACAGCGTTTTGAGTTTTAATTACGTCAAAACACCACACTATACCATAACATACTGCAGTATACAAAATATTACAGGAAACTATCAGGGACAGCTCATGCAGGTTATTTCTATCATGTTCCAAATTGGGGCTGTACGATATGAGAAAAAAACTCACTATATTTTTTAACAAATACCTCAATATCAATATTGTGACAATATTACATGGTTCACTACTAGTGCTTTCACAAATATATTTCACAGTGAGAAAAATATAATTAAAGTACATACAGTATAGGACTTGATATCTACAGATACTCAGTATTAAAAGACTTAATTTAGGACTGGGGGCAAATATAAAGTCTTCAGGATAATATGCCTAGTCTCCACATGAGAAATTTCCAAAAACTTGGCAGGGCAAGTCCTTCATGACAGGCTGTCTATAGGTATCGGACACTTAAAGTAAATGCTTTTAAGACCTTTTCAAGGTCATTTTTAACAACATGCAAAGTTAAGTTTTAGGATTATAATTATTTGAGTGAATTTGATCTACATTTTGCCAACTGGTAAGTGCAAGTATAAAGTAAAAACATAGTATTTGGTTCAGTGGTAGGTTAAAAGATTTGTAACACCGGAAATGTGAACTTTCAGGCATTAGGGCTTGACACATTTTGACTAAAGAATTTAATAGATGAATATAGAAAGAGTTTAATGGATTAATATATGTAATAGATAAAATGTAAATGGGCAATTAAGACCTCACAAATTCAGAATTGAGACTTTTTACAACCTAATATTTACAAAATCAAATTTAACAGAATTGAAGACTTTATGAGGACCTGAAGTCACCCTGCATGAACATTTATCATGGGGTTACACTCATCTGAAAAAGTCCACTTACTTAGCCTATACTAATCCCAGTGGTGTGTAATAATTTGTCTGTGTAAACTTTAAGTAGGTAACAAACCATACATTTAAGAATGCAATGCAAAGCCAAAATGCATCTGCCTTTTATGCCTTAGACTTAGCAACACAACGACACAAGTACCTGCAACATAAGAAAGCAGCATTAGTATATTTTCACCGAATGTGAGCTCATGTTTTTAGCTAAACTTGTGAGTTTTAAGCTAATGGGCTACCTTGGCTAGTGTGTCTGCATGTTTGGTTTAAGCTAGCTATGACGTCACAGTTTTGACATCACTGAAGGTAACATTTTAAGACTATGAATGATGATTGTTTTATTGACAATGAACTATCTTGCGCTGATATTAACTTTCAGTGTAACATTATAAGTTGATGCTTACCATTATCTGCTGCGCTTTGCATTGGACGCTGCTGTGTGCGGGGCGGAGTCACGTCCAGGTGTTTTTAATTATTAACTTTACAAACCGGAAGAGTACAAGAGTAGTCTGGGTTTAGGCGTTGTCTTATACAGCTTTCATATCAGACATAAACTTAAACGTGTCGCCATTTCCATGTCGTTTTCGCGTTTATAACAGGCTCCTAAAGTCACTTTTCTGTTAGCTAATGCCGCACACCTCACTGAAGGAGTAGCAGCTAGCGTAACAGTCGAACTACGTACGCTCACGCGCTGTTCAGGGCTGACCAATCAGGTTCCTTGTAGGCAGGACGTCATGACGCAGTAAAGATGGCGCAGAAACATGATTAAAAGGAATGATAAAGAACAGACAAGGCATTTTAAATACATGATTTCTATATACAATGTTAATTCTGTCTTGCAAAGAAAATTTGAAGTGTAAGTAATGTGTGTATTTGTGGTTCATTTGATCAGTAATGACCCTCATACTTGTAACCTATTTTGGATGTGTATTTGTGCATTTATATGTATTATAAGCCCTCAAATCCAGTGTAAAATCTGACATTTTTCATGGCTTGGACATTGGACCTTTACTCCTGGAGACAAATTGTGGCTTTCACTTGAGATTGTGGGGAAATTGTGTTGGTCCATGCTCTTCATGTGGCAAAAAAAAAAGGAGTGTATACAGGCCAGTGCAATATGGCTGTAATTGAGCTGATTAACTTGTTTTTTTAAAGGAGTAGCTTATACAGTGTGGGGCTCACACATTTCCTCCTGATATAACTCATCATGTTGGTTATGTGACAGACTGCAGACTATTGTTTAAGCTTTTTGTGCATGTTGCTCATAAATGGTCTGATAGAGGAAGTTCTTAATTTCTGTGGCAGTGTTCATCGGGCAATATCTTAAGAAAAACTACCAAACTGAATTTTCCATACCTGTTAACAATAGCAAACAATAACAGAATTGGGATAAAAAAAAATAATGCTTTGCCCTATACAAAATAACCACTCTGCATTAGTTTCATCAGATAAACAGATTGGCAGCTTAAAACAGATGTTAAGCGATATAAAAGATCAATAGTCCCATCTAGTGGTCAAAGACGGCACCACCACTACCCTGACCTCTCTGAAACCTCTTTGGTTCTTTCCCCGAGGACCCAGGAACCAATATTCACTTTCTCGCATCCTCTCAGCCCAAGGCTGTGTGCGGTTGCTCTCCTCGCCACCACTGGTCTTGTTCTGGGAAACTAACAGAGGGATGGAGGAGAGGAGGAATACTGACTGTGCTTCAGAGGCTGAGACGAGATGTAGTGATGACTTCCTACCAACAGATGTCAGACATAGAGCAGCTTTTTGGTTACTAAATATTGATTATCATATGAAGTTTGAAAGAGAAAATATCCTAAATGGGAATTCTCATATTCTATTTTTATATCATACACCTCAGTTTTAAGTTGTGGGTTTCATTAAGCCCATGGAGACCAATGAAGAGAGGAAACTACATAGTGAGGATATTCTCTAAAATGTATATTATATGGGTACATTTTTAGTGCAGAGCTGTAAGCCATACCAGAAATTATTGCACTTAACTATCATGTGTATTGTAGTGTGTATTGTGCACATCCTTTATGTTCTCTGAGATCTGGTGGTATCTATGTTGTACACTTTCTGTTTTGTCAAATGACTGCATTGGCAGAAAGTCAATAAAAAACTATGGACAATCAATCATCACTCATGTGCAATATCTGTATTTGTATGTAGTGTTTGTGATATATCGACACTTGCTACATGCAATAATGTAAATTCTGCCACTCTGGCTGTCTATTTATTATTATATCTTGCTTCTGTTTTTTACTGCTCACAATCAATCACTCAGGTGCAATATCACTACTGTTATACTGTGCAATATCTATACTTCCATATGTCAATAATGTAAAATCAGCCATTCAGTCTATCTTACATTCCGCTTCTGTCTGATGCTTCCTTACTATGTTGCGTAATGTTTTTATACTGTTTCCTTATTATATTGCTCTTTATTTTTGTACAGCTTACTTGTTTTACATTGTCAAATATTACTTTGTAGATTTTTCCTACTGATGCTTCCTGTTTGCACTGTCACTTTGCTGTTCTAATGTTGTAAATATCCCCATTCTTATCTTATCTTATCTTATCTTATCATTTATGTCTCATTGCTACACATCAGATATGCACGAGGTTCGGGGCCACAAACAGCACAACAGTGGCAGAATCACACACACACACACACACACACACACACACACACAAAAGAAAATGCCTGCATTTAAACAGTAGAGGCGCCCAGAGTCACACACTGCAGATGAAAAACATGATGAGAAATAATAATTATATTAATATATATTATTATAATAATAATGATAATAATGATTAATAAGATAAGATATACTTTATTGATCATCCAGAGGGGAAATTCAAATACAGCAGCACAAGACAAAAAGACATTAAATAGAATAAAGATAAAAGAGGTAAAAATAAAATAAAATTGCTACATAAAGATGAATAAAGTGACTAAAAATGACAGACAAAGTGTTGAATAAAATAAAGTGACTATAAAATAAAGTGACTGTGAAATAAAATAAAATTGCTACATAAAGATGAACAAGGTGATGATGATAATAATGATAATCGTCATCATCATAATTATCATAATTATAATTTCCCTAATTATATTTAACCTTCTTGTGGGGGTTCTTTCCAAATAAAAAATGATTGTTTTTAATGCTAGATCACCTCCAGAGCAGCAGGTGGCGGTAGTGCATTTATTGTGTCAACTCTTTATAGAAGGAACGAAGAAGAAGCAGGCTAAACAGTAGCAAGCGAGCTAGCGCCACCAGTTGCTGTTGTAATGTTGGCGAGTCAAGCCGGGGAGGACTGTCCTGGGACGGCGGTGTCCTGCAATACTGTTGCCAAAGCATTTGGATAAGGTAATTAGAAGGGGACAGCGCAGCCTGAGTTTTAAAAGCCTGTGAAACTACGTCCTCTAAGTGGTATTTATCCATGTGGTGCTAGTGAGCTAACTGTAACTGGAGCTGAAGTAAAGCAGTTTGCTGACTTGCTTTCTGCCATGATATTCCGGTGATGACATATGCTGAACGTCAAAAGTTAAAGCTAACCATTAACTGCTGTTAGCATGGTAGCTAACGTTAACGGTGCCTTCAAGTGCTCCTTGTCAGCTTCGTTTATCGACAGTATGATTTGTAAAGGCCTTGCTGAACTGTCACATTTAACTGTTATACGGAATAAAATAACTGTTAGAAATTACTCGAGCAACAGACCTGGTGTTAACTCAGTTTGTATATAAGTACAATACATATAACTGCGTATAACACATTAGATAAGTTGTAACTTTAGTAAGTGGGGTAGTTTTTTGTGTATTTGTAGCTCAGTTAATCAGTGACGGTGGTTTAAAGGAGCTGCTGTGCGGTTAACTGTTTGCTTTGGCTCGTCCAGGCAGGTGTTAAGGTTATAACGTTAATTCAACACAGACTTCTTCACTCAAGTGGAGCTATCGGCCTGAGAGTGAACTCTAGTGCGGTTTGTTTGTGGTGTGCAAGCCAAACAGACCGATCAGAGTCACTACGGATATACTGTACTTATAAGGCCAGGGCAAGTGGCTCAATATCTTTACGTGGATGAGTGTTGTATTCAAAGGCAGATTAAAGGTGCGTTAGGTCAGGGTTTGAAAATGGTGTCACTTGTCATCATGGGGTGCAGTAGATTAATGACTAACAATACAGACTGAGACACACTGTAGGGGCAAAACATCATCTCACATGACAGCTGGGCTTCCGTAGAAATTCTGTGTTAAACAGATTTTTCAATTGCTGGACTTAACATTCAACAACTTATGCAGATACGATAACTGTGCCAATACTGAAACACTTGGAAATACCTCATATTCCTTTTTTCTTGATTTAATAAAGAATTGATGATGTGTTCACATTTTAAAGCGTTTGTCAGCTACACAGTCACCTTAAACTAGATTATATTACAAGCATGGGAGATTTTAAAACAGGATTAAAGACTATGTGATCACCAAATACTATGTTCTAATACCATTTTTTCCTTTCCCATACTGATTCTGATACCTGGTGTGTAATTCAAAGTACCATTCAAATACCATTTCCTTTAAATAAATCGGCACGTCATTGTTATCGGCCTATATTGGCATTAAAATGAACTACCAGAATCTACCAATATGCTGATAATATCGGTACATCATCAGTGTCGGCTGATATCGGCTTTAAAATGAACTATCAGAATCGGCCTCTTATTTTGAACAATGAATGAATTTTATGATGTTAATTCCACTACAGAAGAGACTTTATGATTACTAAATGTAGGTGGGGAAAAAAGTGGATGTGTCTGTTAACGACCAAATAAATTGTTCTATGTTGGCATATCAGATCTCGGCAAAAAATCCAGTATTGTGCATCTCTAAATAAACGGCTGTATGCATGCGAAAGGATCGCTGTCATTGTTATTGCAAAACTCAAGTTAAACCCTTTGTACAAATGCATACAGAGAATGAATCCTGTCAACAGGGTTTTCCCACACATAAATTTATTTGTGGCGGCCTGCCACAATGTCTTCTATTTTTGGAGCTGGACTGTTCAGTATGTGCGCTGTTGGAGTGCTGTTTGGTTACTCATCGTGCCACGCTCAGAGCGCAGAGCGTAGGATTCTCTGGGCACAGACAGAGCAGCAGAGCGCCAGGCACAGTGAAAGTGAAGCTTACGTTCATTGTGCTGGTTCTAAAAAAATTGCTTTCACTTTCCACTTGTTAAAATGGCAAACATTATACTATTTATCAGAAGTCAGCTCTTTGTCACAGCTGTAAAGCAGTAGTTGCCAGTAGCTGCACAGTACAACTGGCTGTGTAGGCTACTGTTTTAGAGCTGTGAAGAAGAATTGATTTCTGGCAAAACTACTGTTTTATCCGGTTGTGAAACTAAAGTTTATTAATAAATTACATTGTATCGGATTTTTGCATAGATTCGTATGCCCACCAATACCCAGTCCAGCATTTTAGGCAGTATCAGAGGCAATTCGGACACTGGTATCAGAATAGCTCTACTAAATGCATGTGACAGTGACTGAACGCTGCTAATTGAATTGTTTGTTGTACTCTGGCTGTTGCTTGTTTCCTGTATGCAAAATTTTTATGCTGCTTAATGTTTTGCTGTTGTGTTTTTAGTCTTTTCCTTTATGTGAAACTCTATATGCTGCAGGACTCCTTGCAAAAGACATTTGAATCTCAATAGGAGTATTCCTGGTTATTCCAGTTACACAAGGCAGTGAAGCGGGGCCAGCTAGCAGCATGCATAAATTAGTCTAACTATTACAATTATATATCTAAGTTGGGAATAAAAGTTTATAAAGGTTTTTAATTATATCCATCCTTTAACGTTGGGCTTGGGACATTCCTTACAGACTGGTGCTTCATTATGCGGCGGGGGGAGCACGTTTCACGGGCTTTCCAGGCCCCGGTGGACGTCCATGCCAGTGCAGATGGCCAGGTTTACATGTTCAACAGGAGGCCCAATGAGTCCTCAGATGACGAGGAGCTCAACGTCATGGAGATGAGGCCACGCATTTACCAGGAGCAGGACAGACTGAGGAACATTCAGCTGCTGGAGCGGGATGTGGTAGATGGCGACAACCTCAACAAGCTCGCACTGCAGTATGGCTGCAAGGTAAAGATTAGGGATAGTTTGATTTCTGGAGTTGATCTCTTCAGTGGCATGTTAGATGTTTGCATTCATTCAGCTTCGGTCTTGTTTCTGTCAACAGGTGGCAGATATAAAGCGGGTGAACAATCTTCTGAAGGAACAGGATTTATTTGCACTTAAATCCATCAAAATACCCGTTCAGAAACACAGCTTTTTAACAGAGAGGTACACAGATCTCAGAGACCCTGAAGAAGAAATGCCGTGTTCATCCACTACACCAGCGAAGCCTCCGGATCGAGCCAGAGCCCAGCCACATCTGCAGGAGGTCACGGACTTTCTAATGGAGGTGGACCAAGATATTGAGAAACTGATTCAGACTACAAATGATCAGGATGACGATCTCTTGGATAACCCGGAGAAACAGCAGAGGTTTGGTCTCAAAGGACAGCCCCTGAGCAGTCACGGTGCAGACTGGGGCATCCAGTGGTGGAACGCCGTGGTCGCCATGCTCCTGATCGGGATCGTCCTGCCTTTATTTTATGTAATTTATTTCAAAACAAAAGATAGTGAAGTAGTTTCACCAACAAATGGTAGCAGTGCTTTTAGTCAGTCATCCACAACCTCTTCAAACTCCTCAGGAACAAGTACAAGTTGACCTGAGCGGTGTCAAGAACCAGGATAGTACAGAGTCAGATCATTTTTAAGACTGTGGGAGTAGATGAGTTAAGAAGTAGGTGACAATCAAGATAAAGCCAAATCTTTTAACATTTTACCTCGTGCAACACCAGCATGTATCAGTGAATTTTACCTTGTAATTCATACGATAACTGTGACACTTGAGGCAGATACTTCAGTGATTGTCTTGAAGTGAGGGCGGCACACTGATCTGATTTTTGTGACAATGTAGGACACCAGCGATTCATCAGACAGCCGTCATAGAGTTCTGTTTCCTGAAGTATCACTCTTGATACCATTGATCCTTATTGTTCCTCAGGTGCTTCAAATCTGAGGTTTGGTGCTGCAGGAATGAGTCCTAAAAGGATTTTAGCACTTGTGGTTCCCTCGTCTGAAAGTTAATGGGTTTTTGGTTAGATGATTGAAACAATATGTGGTTAACAGAAGCTTAAGGGACTTTTACATTTATTAATTTGTCAGTAAATAATCCACTTGCGAGTTTCGCAGCGTGGTGTAGTTTGTTTATAGCAGATTTCATTTACCCTTCAAAAATCATGAAAGAGGAGTTCATCTGTGCCTCTTACTGAACATAATGTGTAAGTATCATAAACCTTTGTTCGTCACAGAGCTTATTTTCAGCAATAATCCAAAATCGACTAAAAAAAAAATCTCATTGGATTTTTGTCAAGGGAACAAGGGTGATATTAACTTCAAGGCTGCCCTACAAATAAACGTCATTCCTGCAGCACAGAAAATACTTTGTCTGGGACAAAAACATCTGTTGTGTGGTCTTTATCAAAGGGCTGGGCACAAAATCAAATATCATGGTAGTCCTGAGCAAATACCTTTATCGATATTTTGATGTGGATATAGTGACTAAGTGGGTAAAGGCAAATAAAAGAACCATCTGGTAAGGTCATGAAATCACATGTCAACCTTTAAAATCAGGAGGATACAGCACTTGCAATATCCAAAATCTAAGACGATATCTAGTCTCATATCATGATAACTATAATATATCAATCAAATGCTCAGCCTTACTTTGTCACCATCAGTGCCTGTTGTCAGTATCAACACATCAAGTGTCACCATATCAGTGCCACATTTGGGGTAATCTTGATATCTGTCCCACTACAGTAATATATTCATAAACTTTAGCCTTACAATGACAAACTGGGCGAAAACTGTGTGAGGTTTAGCTGTGTTTAACATGGGTTTGAGCATTAATGGTGTGCCTTGTTTGACTTAACTTATCTGTGGCTGTGTCCTCATGCCTCCTCTCTGGGTCTGAATACAGTGCCAAACTTGTAAATTATATTTACTTGGTGCAATATACTTTATCTTTTTAGCCTGAGTGTGTTCATTTGACACTTTGCAATCTTTAAACTGTAAGGTTTTGCATTTTTAAAATGACATTTAGTCCCCTGACTTAACTATGGGATATTAAAATGCGCCTTAAACCTTTGTCAGGTTTACACAGTGCTGCACACTCAATCTTAACATTGTTTGATGGGTATTTAAGTCCACCATGAGCAGGTGGTGAAGTTACACGGCTTGTCCAAAGCACTTTTTAAAGTCTAATTAATTTAATTATTTAATAAAACTGGAAAAGTTATTCTGTTGTCTATTTAAAAAAAAAAATTAAGTCAATTTATATAAATGTTTTTATTCATCTTCATATTTGACAACAAACTTTGTAGCATGAAAGTGTCTCAAAAATATTCTGACAGTTTGGGACCTGTGATTTTTCTCATCTTCATTGTCTTATACTTGTGGATTGAGGTTATACACAAACACAATGTGCTGGGATAAGACTTTTCATCACTGACGGCTACGGTTACAGCAGTCGACCGTATACTATGGTGTGAAAATTGACGGTTATCATACTGTGTACATTTGCTCATCTATGGTATTGAAAGAAAAAATGCATCTGGATGGAGACTCGCCTGCACATGCACATCTTTTTTCCTCCTCGACTGCCTGGCAGACTTTTTACACATAAATCATTGGGGGAAAATGATTTTTAAGCTTCAGTTATAATAAAGCATTTGTTCAAGCAAAAAACTCTTTTGTTTTCATTCATTAACCCTTTAAAACCTGAGTGAATCGGCTTGATTTCTTTCACAAAAAAAAAACATGGGAAGAAGACAATGAAAGAAGAAATGACCCAAAAAATTAGAAAGAAATTAGTAAAAAAGAAAAATAAGTAGATGAACTGGAAAGTGCTTAAAATTTATAATAATTCTGCAACATGATTTTAAGACAGAATAAATATAGTTTTCCCAAGATTTTTTTCCTTTTTCTCTAGTTATTTTTAATTTTTTAATTTTAATTATTTGTTTGCAATTTGTGGGACATGTCTAATCTTGCCTTTTTTCCCAATGTTTTTTGAAATAAATCACACCAATGTGCTCAGGGCTCAAAGGTTTAATTTCTTGGGAGAGGTGTCTGAAAGCAGCAGAAAAGTGATGTCGCTCCAGGTTTTAAATAGACTCACAAGTCAGACTTTAGACGCTTTAGAAGGCGGAGATCTCTGATTGTCTGGTGGTGAGACTAGGTTTTAAAGGCATAAAGGGTCACTGTAACTGATAATAATAATAATAATAATAACTGTGTAATACTGTATACCATGAAACCGTTTTATTTTCTGAGACAGTGATAATTTGCAACCCCACGGACAGCAAATATATATATGAGTACAGTGTAGAGCTGGAGTATATATTTTGGCAGTATACCTTTATAATAGTTTTGATGAGTTGCAGTACCCACAGCTACCAAAAGATGGCAGCATTCACAAACTTTCTGTGGTGTTTTTGGGGGAATGGAGTGAGACAATTTTACTACATGATATCTTCTGATCAAGACGAAATGTCGGCTGATTAAATGGTTTGATACACTGATTTTGGATTAAATTATAGTCAAGGCAGTTAGTTTATAATGATGATAAACAAAACCTGTGCAGCAGCAACACCTCTAAGCTGATAAAGTGTAGTGTAGTAACTAAACATATCAGTATCTAATTATAGCACCTTATATGTACTGTATATGTTGGCTATTTGGACATATTTTGTCTTTGTATTTCCAGGGAAGTATAAAGTATACAAACACAGTATGTAAGGAATAACTGCAGTGTGTTTCAGGGATTTAGACAGATTTGAGTTAAATGACCCAAACACCATACAAAGGTTTTAGAGCGATGCCAGTTCTCCAAGTCTTGTTTGCTTTGGCATCGACAGAAAGCCGGTCTCTCTAACTTGTTAGCCATCAAATCTGTCGACCATGTTTACTCTTTGAAGTGAGAAAGTGAACTGAAATGTTGATATGTATTTACAGATCTAAGAAGATGCAACTTGAACACCCTCGATCACCACAGACAGCGTGAACAGTTGTGTTTATGAATACACAGATAAAACAAAAGACAGTGTAGAAGTGAAATATGATTTCAGTCAGTAACACAACCAGCAGGATGTGAAGGGCCCTAAGGCAAAATGTGTTGTTTAGCTCTCCCTGTGTGTACAGGAGTCAAAGCACGAGGTCAGCACCAGAGCAGAGCTGCTAAAGCTAATAGGAAATTCAGTTTCTGGCCCATGGACGTTCATTGTGATGGGGTCTGAACCTGGGTATTCTGGGTGAGAGATAGCATTTCCAAACACTGCTGTTCAAATAATTTGTGTGTTACAAAGCCAAAAAACACACATCCTGAAGGGACATGTTTAGCTGCTCGAACGAGAAGTCTGTGAACGTGTAAAAATTTGTGAAGATGCACGTTTAAGTCCTTGACATCAAACAGTAGTCCTATAGCACACAAGTGAGAAGGGAAACCAAGCTTTATTAGTATTTTCTGAGACTCTATAACAAAAGTTTAGCTCTATTGCTGCAGAGGCTCTATGCCTTTTATTATTCCATGACCTGAGACCCTCATCTCATAACTGCAGCTCACGAACCCTGCTCTGATGTAGCTCCAGGCCGCAAAGCTCTGGCGTGCGGCCAGCTCCCAGGCTGAGTCTTATCCTACTGTTGATACATGGGCCTCCCCCCCAACCCCCTTTTTTCTTTTACCTCCAACCTGGACACTTCTGCTCCCTGCCTTTCTTTATTTGATGAAATCCATATCAAGTCTGCTCCTGTAGAGAACAGATGTACTAAATATAATCAGATTCCTCTGCAGCCCAAATATGGTGTGTCTGATTAGTGTTTAACAGCACATGAGAGTGAGGGGAAAGGTTTGGATGGCATGTTGTCAGAGGAAATCTGCCTATACAGTAGAAAATATCAGGTTATTTTATACAACTGTAATACATTAAGTTTTGTTTGTATTTTTAAGTTGGAAATAAATGACCTGGGAGTGCATGGGTGTGTTTTGGGGGTGGTGGCACAGACAGGCTGCACATTTTTGGGGGTAGAGCGTGCTCTTCTGGAGGTCGTGGCTGAAGCAGAGGGGGCTTTCCCCCCCTGCTGAACAAAGCACAAGCATCCACACAGCACTGGGTGGAGGGTGCACACAGTGAAAAAGATTCACGAGCAACCCGGAGCTCTGCAGCTTTAAGAAGTTTGCACACTTGAGCAGCTGGCAACGGGCCACTTGGCCAACATAAACAGCCCTAATCCTTTTTCCAAGGAGCTTTCAACACTCATCTCTCTGGCACATCGGCCACTGACTCACTCTCTCTCTCCCTGACATTCCTGTCTGTTTGGAGTTCTGCGGGGCCGTCACCAGGAGGCACTGTGGCCCTTGCAATGTTTAAACGCTGCCGGCTTTATGCTGTTGATCATTATTCACTGCTAAGGTATGTGCCTTCCTTTGATTTTCCCCTGAAGCGAAACAGGTCTCAGTTTTCACTCTTTCTTGGTGGGAATGGGAGGTTTGGTTTCACGATGTCATGTTGACCCGAAGCCCACAGAGGTACGGGGTTGTTCATACAACTGGTGCTGACAAGAAGTAAACTGGGAACTTTTATATGGTTTCTATTCTTCAACCTCCAGACACTTTTAATCACATCAGCTTTTTGGTGAGAGGTTAACAGTAGTTACTTTGAGCTTGTCTCCACTTTTAGCACCAAATAAAACTCAAAGATAAGAATTAAAACTCCATAATTGAGTCCTACAAAAACACAGAATGCATTTCTTGAATAAAAAACATATTATCTAAGAGTTATAAACATAAACACACACTATAGGATTTCTGTGAGGGACTCTCTGAGGTCTGTTTCAATGGGGGCAGGGAGATCCAGGGTTTTGATTTCCTCAGCTCCCGGGGGGATTTGGGAGACACAGGGTAATTTGTAGTGAAATTTCCAGCACAGTTTGTTTTGCAGGTGGCTGAGAACGAAGGCAGGGCGTGGTGGGGAATGAGAGAAGCAATTTGCTGTCTGTGGGCTGTGAATGTGTGTATTGTTGCACAGCAGTAGGTTTAGTGTTGTGCCGGTATGTGCTGTGGTCAGGGCTGGACTCGTGGAAGGGAGGCAGCAGGAGATACTCATCAGACAAACCAAAGGGATTTAAATAAAATACATTTTTCATTTGGTGAGATAAGCAATTTTTTAAAAGCAATGCTAAAGTTATCAAAGTAACTGCGAAAAAATAAGTTGCTCTTGACTGTTTATGCATGAAAAACTCCTAGTCTGACACAGGAGTGAAGAAAGCAGAGGGGAAAAACTTTCAATCTGTGAGAGAGGTCACATGACAAAGCAATATGAGTGTGTATTCGAAGGTTCTCGCCAGAAGACATTTCAGTCTCACATGCTTCGGAGTGGTTTCAATTAAAAACTCCCCTCTTTGAATCCCCGGCCAGAATTTCAATGTATAAATCCATGCCAGATGTTCCAGCGCCACTTGAGGAACACACAAGGTGTCAAGGAAAGAGCTAAGGCTGTTTAATTTGTTTTTATCAGCATTATCTTCAGTCTTATGAGAAACATGAATCTGTGCTCTAAAACAAATCCACCAGAGAAAACAGAAAATATGCCATCAAGAAACACTTGACCAGCCCTAAATGTAGAAGACTTTGGCACTGACTGAGAATGCATAATATATAGTATGCATGCTGTATGTTATCCCTTAAGTCTGGTTGTGTAAGTCAGGGATCATCTGGAGACACAGCTGGCCGGAGAATGTGATGTTCTGTCAGTCATGTTCCTGCAGGGGCGGCTGTTTTTCTTTCGCCTCCGCTGTGGAGGAACCAATTGTGCAGCACCTGTTTTACATTCCAGCCGAGGTTTGAGGGGTCTTCACCCGAGGGACGCTTCTGCTCAATCTACCCACACAGAGTATATGAAGACAGAGAACGTTATATAGTCTGTCGTTATTGTTGCCTCCTGAATTCTTGTGACAACTCCAAGACGTTAGTATGTATGGGCTGCACTGACCACGCAATAAACATCTTCACAGGGTGTTTATGCACTCTATATAATTATATCTATATATTATATATGGTGTAATAATTCATGGAAGAGTGACAGTCAACTATATGTTACATTTAGTATAAGAACATTGTGGGAACAACATATGTTCTTCTGTAGTCACACTGCACCTCAACTTTAAATAGTGAAAGAAGAGAACAGTTTAAACGCTCAAGATTTAAATTATTGTAGCTAATTTAAACATTTAATCATGAATAAATGTTTTGCTAAAAGAATTAAGTGAAAATAAGATGGGTTAAGGACACGGTCACACATGCAACACTAGAAAATAGAAATGTCATTGTACGTCTTTGTGGTATTCCAAGTGTGAACTGCATGGATGTACAATATGTAACAGTGGTCCCCCCCACATTAGAGGAGTGGATAGATATTGTAAATGATATTTATGTTATGGAAAGGATTACTTTTTCTCTTCATCTTCAGAAAAATGTGTTTATTACATTCTGGGCGATGTGGGTGAAACTGAAGACCCTTACGACCTGATTTTGTGGAGGTATCATACAAAAGATGCAATTCTATTTTTTTTTTTTTTTTTTTTTGTCTCTTTAATCCCTCCTCAAGTCTCCCCAACATATGGTGTTTTTATGTACATTTAATCTCTCCTAAAAGTTCCTAAATTGTGAAAAATTTGAACAGCAGGAGAAA